CTTTCCAGCTGAGACAAGTATTTTCCCGCTGTATGTCCGAGTGCATCAACGTGGTTTGCATAGAGAGCTAGACCCTGCTCTTTGCCATGGGCCAGTTTGATCTCAAACCGCTTAGAGTGTGGGATATCGGCCGCATTGGATCCATCACTATCCATAGACAGTTGATCAGGTCCTGGTGCATGAAATGGCAAAAAAGGCAGCTGATCACGGCTGGCTAAACGGCCCATAGCACCAGAAACCTCAGGTTTGGGCATTGCTAAAGGCTCCTGGATAGCCTCACGCACCATACGCCAGCGACCCTGAATGCACTCGTACTGCTGGCGTAGGTCACGGTAGGCATCCGACCAGCGCTCAGCCAATGCAACCAACCCTTGCAACTCAGCGGCGACCGTTTGCCAAGTTGCCGGTGGATCCGCTCCTTCGCTGGCTACGCTCCGTTCTGCACGACAGGGCGGCTCCTGGGAGCTAGTGTCGAGTCTAGGTTGCGACGCTGGAGTGATGGGCAGCCCGCTCTGTCCCGCTGACGGGGTGTTGACCCTGCCTAGCCCAAGTCCCGTTTGGGGTGCCTGGGTGGGCAAACTGGTCAGTGGGTCAGTTGCATCGAGAATTTGCTGCAAATGGCGAATTTGGGTCAAGCATTCGTGCACCCTGCCTCGATAGGTTTGGCCGTGGTTGGCTACTGACACTGCAGTCGACGAGCCAGATGTCAGTGGAATCGATGGGGCCTTGTCCAGGAGCATTGGTTCAGTCATCATTGGGTTTGGCCACCTATCCCGACCAGGGGGTCCAATATACATTTTATATCATATGAAAAAGGGGGCGCGCGACAGGAGTCAGTGGAAATTGTTTTGCTGTGATACAGGATACAGGTATCTGTTGCTAAGTTGGGCTACTATACTCGCTCTATTGCGCTATCACAATGGCAGGCCCAAGTTACCGTGTACTAGTGGCAAGGTCGAGGTATGACGACGAAAAGAAAACGAGCAAGGAGGGAAAGAAAGTGCAGAGAATAAGCACACGCCTAAAACAACCGACGGTTTCCACATTTAGGCATTATTAATACGGAAGAAGAGATACAACGAAGAGCACCAAGGGCTAGACCACTTTAGTCCTATGCACCTTCAGCCTAGCAAACGGATGATTTTTGGCACTGGGCTGCGGCAGAAAAATAATCCCCAAGCCCAACTGGTTTAGGTTGCTCAGGACTCGTGCCGCAGCATCACCCGGTTGCAGCCAGTCATACGAAAAAAAATTTACTCGAGTAGGATGGGGAAATACTATGCAAGGAACCGCTCCCCCCCCACTTTTGAGGCATTTGATGACTATTGCTTCGTAACTGGTGGAGAAGCGCCCTGCCCACTACCACTCATTAATGCAGGGTGGAATGGAGATGGTGAATCACTAAAAGTTAGGCTTTATTCATCAACAACTGTACCGACAAAGGGCATTGTAACCCACCATGCTGGCATACATAGAACGTACTGAAAGCAAATATAAAAATCGTTGCAGCCATCTACTTTAAGAACACCACTCCTGATCAGCTAGTACGCTTGGGCGACGACAATGGGGATATGATCAAAGGCTTGGTTTGGGCAAGTTTTGAAACTGCTTCTGGAGCTCTTTGAGAATTTCTTTTCGTCCATCGCTCATAACAATAAAGTACATATCCAAAACATCCCCAGTGACCCTTGGCCAATAGCTATTAAAAGCCGCGTCCGATGGCTCAACAATGTCTAACCATGAGCCCATTAAATCCCCCCAGAAAGGAATGTGTTGATTGAATGCCTTGGAGACACTCCAATGCAAGTACTCTCGTTGGGCGTTGTTCGAAAGTGACGTTTTCATTACCGCTTGAACTATTTCGGTGATGGTTTTGATCAGCAGTTCCTTGTAAATGGCCAGGGTTTGCTTGACTGTATCGCTGATTTGAGTTAGCTCCGCATTCAGGGTCCCAGTAGTGATGTGCAAGAGTTGGCTACAAAGCACGTCCACAAAGAAGATGTTGTACATGACCTGTGAAAGACCGCCGTTGGGGATCGCTTGGAGTGCCGTATTAATGATACTCTGGTACATGGAAGCTTGGCCCGTCAACTGCTGCAAAGGGTTACGTTGGATGGCAACTAGGATGCGCTCCAGAAGATCCATGCTAATTCTGGCGTTGTTTAGGCCTCCATTAACCGTCTGGCGCGTATTGGAACTCAACGAGTGGATCATGCTGTCGAAATTAGAAACCTGAGAAACGCCGGGGCCCTTGAACACTTCAACGGACGTAGGCATGTCATCGTATATAGGTTCCAGCGAAAAATCATCCGAGCCATAGTTCTCCGAATCTATGAAGTCTTCCTGGGGCATTTGGATTGGCGCTTGCTGGAACTCGGGCGAGCTTGCGCGACCACCCTGCAGGCTCGGATCAAGGTGCTGCTGGACCGTGCGAAGGCGATCCTTTGCAATGTTTGCGTTGCTTGCAGGGGTCAGATCGTTTTGGTCGTTTAGGATGGCTTGCTTAGAGACAAATGCTGGCGGCTGTGGCGGACTAGCGGCAGCAAGCAAGTTGGACAGCTCAGCGTTGGAAGGGGGAGTTTGCATGGTTCGCACAAACGCATTAGCCTGGTCAAACCGTTCAGCCCATTCGTCGTTTGGGTCGTCAGCGTTCATGGTAGCACCAGGGTTTGGTTGAGTGCGAAATGTTGAGGGACCTTGGCCCGAGCTGCCAGCCGGAGGGTAATTGGTGTTATATCTGGCGGCAGCCGCAGCGCTACTGCTGCTTTCCTGCTGGGCAAGAAGGCGGCTTAGGTTATCACTCTTTTCATCGCCCAACGTTCGGCGCGCAAGCTGAGTTCTGGGATACGCAGTTCCACGAGCATGGGCTGCAACGGTTCCCGAGGTTGCTACTAAGCCAGTGGCTAAAACAGCGACCATTGCACCAAGAATAGTAACCGACTGCATCATGGATATCGTTGAGGCGTGCGGTGTGGGATAGCGTAGTTAAAAGAACAAGGTAAGTATAGTGGTCTGTGGGCGGCCAAGTGGCAAAAGCAAAGCAGAAACGATAGGATGGCTAAGTCCTAAAAAGCAGGGAAAATATGCCACTATTTATATGCGACGCAGCCTTGGTTTGCCTGCTTGGCCAGATCGAGCAACCACCAGGGTTTAGTTGCGCTTACGAACACAAAATAACATTGCACCTCTGCTGTTGCTGCAGTTCCAGGTTTTTTTCGGCTGCAACTGGCTCTACCATTGGCCTTTGGCGCACATACTGGTGCACCGAATCAACCAATTTACAAATAAAAATGGACTGGCTCTGCCCCTGTGCAGTTTGAATTCCGTGTGTCCTTTAATATCATTGGCGAGCATCTATGGGGCCCTGCATGTACCTATGGTTGCATTGACAAAAGAAGAGCCACCTTTCCATTTTTCGTTCTCCCCTCTTCTCTTGTTACCCTGTTTGGCTGGCCGGGGGTGCTCCATTCATTTTCTCCTGCTGGGTGCTGTTGCGCCCGCATCGAGTGCTCCTCCACCCATGGCACAATAAACACCCATTCCTCTTTCTCCTCCTTGTTGCTTTTTCAACGAGAAATTCTAATGTGTTCCCATTGTACGCCAACATGCACTCAAGACTTTGGCTGGCAAGGGTCACGAGCTGTTGCACAACTGGCACAGTGCAACCCACACGCACTACATTGAAAATTACTACCAAAGAGTGCCTTGGTCATGCTGAGATGCACCCACAACCGTGCATACTCCTAGCCAAGCCTTGCCAAGTGCAGAACATTAAAACCATCGATTTCGATAGAATAGCTGGCACTGCTTTGCAACTTTCAAGGTTGCATCTTCCGCTCAACATAATCTAAACAACAGCTAATTAGAATGGCCCCGCGCTCACTGGGATCCCTACGTTGTAATAGCAATTGGGTCTGGGGGCTCATCATAAATAAAGGCTTGGTAATTCTAGAAACGTACATTCCTATACCATATTGTCGAATGGGCTTTGTTTAATTTATTTCTCTGCTGGAGTGGCCACCAGTGACTCCTGTCCTGTTTCTCCGTCTGGACTTCTTTGGGACCCAACTGCTTGTAGGTCAAGCTAGTATCGGGGCACTCTGGCCGCGTTGAGATTAGCAAAAGTTCTACGGCAAAGCATACACAAAAAAAAAACAATGAGATGACCCGGGCCGTTTATGACCACATTTAGCTGCGTATTGGGCTATACAAAATTGAACATATAAAAAATGAAAACTTTATGTTTCGAGTGGCAGTTGGTAAAAAAAGGGAAAGTACTACATGCCAAAAATGCTTCAACAGCTAGCATGGCTAAAAGAACAAACGAGTTGACAATTGTCCAGTGGTTTGGATTTTATTTAATTATAAAACAATCTAGGATATGTCAAACAGTCATTTTCATCGTGGGGGTCTAGCTCAAATGGTAGAGCGCTCGCTTTGCATGCGAGAAGCACAGGGATCGATACCCTGGTCCTCCATTTTTTTCTTTTTCAATTTTTTTCTTTTTCTTTTGTGGTGGGGAACCCACCTCAAGCCCTAAAACCGTCTAAAAACGCCGTTTTCAGCGCATTGTGTGGTGGGGAACCCACCTCAAGCCCTAAAACCGTCTAATAGCGCCGTTTTCAGCGCATTGGGACTACCAACTGTG